CCCAGGGGGATAGCTTGAGGCTGGGTCTCAAAAAAAAAAAAAAAAAAAGAAGTTATCAATTCTATGCCTTGGGACAGGTAAATTCAAGATGTGCCTGGAATAACCTTTAAATAGACTGGGAATTTACAGATTGTTTATTGCTGAAATTTGTATGTCAGTGTTAGTTTTAGATTATCACTACCCCTTGACTATTTCCTTATTTCTCTATGATCTTTCCAAAGGACAACCACAGAGGTCTAAAACATTAAACCATGGACCTTTCCTCAACTTTAATCTAGGGGACAGAGTACATGAGATATAAAGTTTAATCACTCTGGCTCCAAGGCAGAGTGTGTGAAGAAGAAATAATTCATGCACAGTGCTTACTTTTTGAGTAGAAAAATATTAAGTTTATGCCATGAATATAAGAACATTTAAAAATAATCTTATAGGATTCTGTCAGTAAATTATACTTAAACTATTAAAAACTTACAAGACAATTTAGGAACATAAACTACATAGTACTTATATATTTAGAAACAGAAAAATGTAAAATTAAAATTCTAAATCACATAAAAGGCACTTGGAGCTAATACTTGAAACATGAATTTTATTTATTTATTTATTTTTGAGACAGGGTCTCACTCTGGTGCTCTCACTAGAGCACCATAATATCATAGCTCACAGCAACTTCAAGTTCTGGGGCTCCAGTAAACCTGTTGCCTCAGTTTTTCTTTTTAGTAGAAATAGGATCTTGCTATTGCTTAGGCTGGTCTCCAACTCCTAAGCTCAAGCAATTTGCCTCACTTGGTCTCCCAGAATGCTAGAATAAACATGAATTTTAAAGGTAATGGTAGCTAAGCACCAAAATGGTTATATGTAATAGAATTTTCTATTATATATAAATTTTCCTAAGTTTCATTCATGTAAAATACATCCTCAGTAAACTAGACTGTTAAAATGGGAGGGAGGTTACACGAAGCCTGGAGGCTTTCTGAGTAATATAGTGGGTTAACCACAATGTGTAAGATGGCTGATCAGACAATCTCAAGTTTATTTAAAAATTTAGAGCAGGGTGGCACCTGTGGCTCACTGAGTAAGGGTGCCGGCCCCATATACTGAGAGTGGCAGGTTTGAACCGCTGCAATAAAAAAATAGTCAGGCATTGTGGCAGGCACCTGTAGTCCCAGCTACTCGGGAGGCTGAGGCTAGAGGTTGCTCTAAGCTGTGATGCCACAGCACTTTACCAAGGGCAACAAAGTGAGACTGTCTCTAAACAAACAACAAAAAAAGTTTAGAGCAGTGGTTCTCAACCTTCCTAATGCCACGGCCCTTTAATACAGATCCCATTGAGAAGTGCTGGTTTAGAGAATAAAAGGCTGCCTAGCCAACTGTGGTGGTTCATGGCTATAATCTCAGCACTATGGGAGGCCAAAGCAGGAGGATCACTTGAGGCCAAGAGTTTGAGACCAGTGTGAGCAACACAACAAGACCCTGTCTCTAAATAGTAACAATAATAATAAAATCAAAATTAAAAAGAAAAAGAAAAGACTACTAAAATGTACTTAACACTTATTCTCTATGTTAACAGTTCACTGTCTCAATAGGTGTTGACAGTTGTACAATAAAGTCTCTGACAGATGAGATACAGATATATAGCTGTCCCTTGGTATCTCTATGGGATTGGTTTCAGGATTCTCATTGATGTTAACATCCACAGATGCTGAAAGTGCCATATATAAAATGGTATAGTATTTGCATATAACCTACGCATATTCTCCCATATACTTGGAATCATGTGTAGATTATTTATCATGTCTAATATAAATTCTATGTAAATAGAGTTATTATACTATCTTTTATAGGGAATAACAACGAGGAAAAATATCTGTAAATGTTCAGTATAGACCCTTTTTTCTTTCCCGAGTATTTTCAATTCACAGTTGGTTGAATTCAAAAATGCAAAACTCAAAAACAGGGAGGGTTGAATGTAATTCAAGTGTGATTCCAAAAGCTGTTCGCACAGTTACAACCATTCTGTATATTCAATTTTATATTCTGTATGAAAATTTTTTTTAAAGAAATATTTCAGGGGTGGCGCCTATGGCTCAAAGGAGTAGGGTGCTGGCCCCATATGCTGGAGGTGGCGGGTTCAAACCCACCCCCAGCCAAAAAAAAAAAAAAAACACTGCAAAAAGAAAGAAATATTTCAGGCTCGGCACCTATAGCTCAACTGGCTAAGGCGCCAGCCACATACACCTAAGGTGGCGGGTTCGAATCCCCAGCCCGGACCTGCCAAACAACAATGACAGCTGCAACCAAAAAATAGCCGGGCGTTGTGGCGGGCGCCTGTGGTCCCAGCTACTTGGGAGGCGGAGGCAGGAGACTCGCTTGAGCCCAGGAGTTGGAGGTTGCTGTGAGCTGTAATGCCACGGCACTCTGCCCAGGGGGACAGCTTGAGGCTCTCTCTAAAAAAAAAAAAAAAAAAAAAAAAAAGAAAGAAATATTTCAAGCTGGGCACAGTGGCTCGCGCCTCTAATCCTAGCACGCTGAGAGGCCAAGGTGGGTGGACTGCCTGAACTCACAGGTTCAAGACCAGCCTGAGCCAGAGCAAGATCTTGTCTCTAAGAATAGCTGGGCATTGTGGTGGGGGCCTGTTGTCCCAAGTACTTGGGAGGTTGAGACAATAGATTTGCTTAAGCCCAAGAGTTTGAGGTTGTCGTGAGCTATGATGCCACCACACTCTACCAAGGGTGACAAAGTAAGAATCTGTCTCAAAAAAGTGAAAAAAAGTTAAGAAAATATAATAAATCACATTACATTAGTAGTTGTATAGCTTTTATTTAGAAAAGAGACTGAAAAACTAAAAAAAAAAAAAAACATAAAAGGGTTAAATTCTAACGATAAATTATTTTCATAAAGTATAAAATCTGGCTGGGGGTGGTGGCTCATGCTTGTAATCCTAGCACTCTGGGAGGCCACAGCAGAAGAACTGCTAAAGATCAGGAGTCAAAGATCATCCTAGGAAAGAGTAAGACCCTGTCTCTACAAAAAATAGAAAAAATTAGCTGGGTGTGGTGGTGACAGCTCCTCGGGAGGCTGAGGCAGGAAGACTGCTTGAGCCCTGGAGTCTGAGGTGGCAATGAGCTATGATGATGCCGCTGCATTCTAGCCAGGGTGATAGAGCAAGTCTGTGTGGCAAAAAAAAATCCTCACATAATTTGATAGAAAATTTGTTACTATCATTATGTATTTTTTGTCCATAACCAAGGAAAAATATAAGAAACTAATTTCACAAGCTTCTATATTTTGAAAAGAAGCAAAGTTAATTTTTTCTAGTTTCTGATCAAGTAAACTAGAAAAATCTATACAAGATACAGGGTGTCCATAAAATTCGTGTACAATTTATTATGATAAACCATGTTATAGTGCACACAAACTTTATGTCCACCCTGTATAAGTCTTACAGTATAGAGGATCAAAGCAAAAGGTAATTATAAAATAGTTTACCTCACTGGCAGACATGTTTTTCACTTGTTCTGGTTTCAGTTCTGTAAAATATAAGTTTAAATTGCTGAGGGGCAAGATGATGTATAATGATCTAAAAGTATCTTGTTTAATATAAATCATTACATTAAAAGAAAGATACATAATATTGAGAGCACATCTAATTTATAAATGCTTAGAATACACAGGTCAGTACAAAAGTCTTGAGAGACTGTGTTATGGTCCATTATTTCACTTTCAAGAAATACTGCTGACAGCATCCTTTTGATTCATTTGTGCAAATTACTGGTGTTGCTATGAAGGCTTCATTTGTTTCCATCCTCACAGATTTTTGTGTATCTCAAAACTTTGGCAATGAACCATATAATATTCCGTCTTATGAGGAACTGAGAAGAATTCAATTTCTTGCATATTGCCCAAGAATAATAGTATACAACTTGAAACTGAAAGTGAACTTTAAAAAATGCAAAAATTTTTGTCTGCTTAACTGCTAAAATATTCTAAAATATATAAATGCGGCCGGGCGTGATGGCTCATGCCTGTGATTCTAGCACAGGCAGGTGGATTGCCTGAGCTCACAGTTTGGAGATCAGCCTAAGCCAGAGCAAGCTTTTGTTTCTAAAAATAGCCAGGCATTGTGATGGGCACCTGTAGTCCCAGCTACTTGGGAGGCTGAAGCAAAAGAATTGTTTGAGCCCAAGAGTTTGAGGTTGTTGTGAGCTATGACGCCACGGCTCTCTATTCTGGGTGACAAAGTGAGACTCAGACTCTATCTCAAAAAAAAAAAAGTAAAAATTAAAAAATATAAACGATTAATGCATTTATCTACTGTTTCTGCATCCACTATCTAGACAAGATTTCACGTTTCTTGGAGCAAGAAAGTCTGTTTACCCAAAGTATCAAAATATATATATTCTTTTTTAATATATATGTTCTGAAGATTATATTTATTATTTTGCAAAGTAGTAGTTCTCAATCAATATCCTGTTTCATTATGGGTGATGTGTTGCCAGATTTTTAGAAATAAGACAAAAATTTTTGTATATTGTAGGCTTTTAACACAAATTATAGCAGAAACTATGATAACAGCTCTCATATAAATGCATGTACTTGAGTTAGAGATAAAGGGTGGAACTATAAGCAGTGCTTTGGAAGTTGTGTGTTTGCTGTTCTATTCTATCATCACAGCCAATAATAATCCAAGAACACACCCGAGGGCATCATTCACTCATTGCCTATGCTGATGTAGAAAAATAGCTGACAACATCTAATCTAACAGTGGTACCACAGTGAATTTATCCTAATCTAAAAAGGATCAGTTGTGGTATTTTAGAATCAACAAACTGAAGTGAATCAAAACATACCAATAAATATCATGCTGTAATTCCTTGAACACATAAGTAAAAATTTCTCTTTATAAAAGTTCCTTTAGACACATTAGTTTCAAATAATACCAGAATACTGAAAAGAGCCAAGAAACAGATAAGAAAATTTCCTCATATTATTCTTTAATGATTACTTTAAAAAGTTTTCTTTTCATTTGACTTTTCTGCTGCTTACCCACTATAAGGAAGTGAAAGCTATTGTCTAGAACAGGGGTCATGGTGCACTGACTAATGGATTGTTTCTGTATGACCTGTAAGCTAAGAGTGGTTTTAGATCTTAGATGGTTGTTTAAAAAAAAAAGTAATGATGATGACTATGCAACAGAGACCATATGTGGTATACAAAGCCTGAAATATTTACTATTTTGTCCTTTACAAAAAAATTTGTTCTCCTCTACTCTAGAAATAACTTTATACCATGTTTTCCACTAATACAGCTTTATTGTTTTCACACTGATCATAAAAAAAGATCTCTCAGAATGGACTTTTTAAATTTCAAAAGTAGTGTAGTAATTAGTACTAAATGTTTCAAGCACTTGTACACACCCACCTCGGATAGGACCCAGTGCTGCATCTTTTGCCAAAGCTGTTAGATCACTTCCTGAGTATCCATCAGTCATTCTGAAAAGGGGAAGGAAGAAACAGCAAATTATTTTCATCTCTGTTGATTTAAAATGTCCACAAAGTAAGAGTAAAAACTAGTTTGCTTTTGTCAGAAAGCAAACAGTTACGTGGTTTGACACTAAGGGTACAAAAAGGCTCATCTGCTGAAAACTAACAAAAAACAGTAGATGGCTGGCTCCTTATATTGCCTCAAATTTTAATCATTAGAGCCATTCTTTTAGATTAAGGCATACTATCTCCAGAGGCTCCAACTGTAAACATGTCACCTGGAAAGGTAACATCTACAAGCCACTGGTGGCCAAGTGACACATAAACACAATTACTTCCATGTAAGTTAGTTTTTATTTTGGCAAAAAGCACTCTTATGATGGAATAAGGGCCATTCAAAAGATTTATCTTTAAATGTGGGACAGACAAGATGAAGGAAGGGTCTGAAGTACAAGACACTGGCAAAAAGAGGCACACCTGAACAGGATGCCACAGTGGAGAGTCCTGGGCAGCCAAGAGATTACCAAAGGGAACTAGGAACTAGGGAAGGAAGGCAAAGGGAAAGAGGAGAGGAAAACACGGAAAAAACATTTACTTATCATGTACTATGTTAAACAACTACACAGATCAAACATTATTAGAATTCTTTTTTTTGCAGTTTTTTTTTTTTTTTGGCTGGGGCTGGGTTTCACCCCGTCACCTCCAGCATATGGGGCTGGCGCCCTACTCCTTGAGCCACAGGTGCTGCCAACATTATTAGAATTCTTTATTGAAATGACAATGAAGGACTTCCATACTTCCAATTATCTCATCTGGAAACTCAGGGTTCTTCCTAAGGTTACTTGCTATTCACAAACTTGTTGATTTTCTTTTTTTTTAAGAGACAGAGTCTCACTTTATCACCCTCGGTACAGTGCTGTGGTGTCACAGCTCACAGCAACCTCTAACTACTGGGCTTAGGCGATTTCTTGTCTCCCAAGCAGCTAGGACTACAGGTGCCTGCCACAACACCCAACTATTTTTTGTTGTTGTTGCAGTTTTTGGCCAGGGCCGGGTTTGAACCCGCCACCCTCGGTATATGGGGCCAGCGCCCTACTCACTGAGCCACAGGTGCTGCCCCACCTGACTATTTTTTGTTGCAGTTTGGCTGAGGCTGGGTTCGAACCCACCACCCTTGGTACACGGAGCCGCCCAACTTGTTGAATATTTTAAATTACTTCATCATATTTTCAGGGACTAAAATTCACAACTGCATCACCCATATTCAGTTTCTGCTTAAGTACACTATGAACAAAAAAGTTTAAGATGTAGAAGTAAAAAAAAATTCTATGTAAAAACATCTGTATTAATGTGGGCAGACATGAGATGTTTTAAAATATCAAATTACTACACTGAGAAGTGTTAATAAAGTTGTAAAAATTAGATATTAGATATTTAAGTCATGTCTTGTAACGTCATAAATATTGAAATTTAGAAAACATATAGGAATAAGAGGTAAGAAAAAAGATAAAGGAATCAGAGGATAAGATGAGAAGTTTTTGATAAATTTCTCATTTTACATTTAAGTATACTTTAAATAACACAGAAAAATAATTATTTACCCTTCCCCCCAAAAGCTGCAAGATAAATCAAATCAAATCTCTCACCTAGCAAGTTGTGCTAGTTCTTTTTGGGTCAATGGGCTTCCTTGTTTACATAATAGATTTTTAAGTAAAAGTAGTCTTGTCTGAAAAAAATAAAAAATTAAAGAATTATCAGTGTAGTCTAATTTGACATCAGAATTAATAAATTCTTAATATATTAAGAATTAAGTTAATATCCAGGAATCAAGATCAAATTCTGAATATTACTTTGAAGGGTCAGGCATGTCTGTTAAATGGAGTTAAAATTACCTATTTATTGAGAGTTCCTGAGAGAATTAAAGAAGATAATAGAAATAAATCACTAAGGAAATAGCTCCTATTATTATTTTCTTTTTTTGGACACAGAGTCTCAAGCTGTTGCCCTGGGTAGAGTGCTATGCCATCATAGCTCACAGCAACCTCCAACTCCTGGGCTCAAGCCATCCTCTTGCCTCAGTTTTTTTATTTTTAGTAGAGACAGGTTGTGTGTGAGGCACTGCACCTGGCCTGCTCCTATTATTATTAAGGATGATAAGGGTTGAGGTGGCTCACACCATAATCCTAGCACTCTGGGGGCCCAAGGTGCGTGGATGGCTTGAGCTCATGAGTTTAAGACCAGCCTGAGCAAAAGCAAGCAAGCCCCCATCTCTACTAAAAATAGAAAAACTGGTGGGTGCCTGTAGCTCAGCGGGTAGGGTGCCAGCCACATACACTGGGGCTGGCAGGTTCAAACCTGGGCCAGGCCTGCTAAACAATAATGACAACTGGAACAAAAAAATAGCTGGGCATTGTGGCAGGCACCTGTAGTCCCAGCTACTCTGGAGGCTGAGGCAAGAGAACTGCTTAAG